GCGGTTCTTAATCAGGACCACCAGCCGGTTTGGATTTTTTTGGGGGGGTGGGTGGGTGGGTGAGGTTTGTGTTGCCTCCACCAAACCTGGGTAATAAGACGGGGGGCGGCGAAGGGCAGGGGGCGCAGCTGTCCTCAGTTATGATGTGGCGGCGTGGTGACTGGTGTCAAGGTGCAAGTTAATTTCACTGCGCTTCTACTGTGTGTGTCTCACCAATTTCAGTGCGCGCCTACCCACGCACCTGCTCTGTTTCACCGGGCTTTTGCCAAAGTACCAAGTTATTTTGGTTGTCCTGGGAAGCACCAAGTGGAACGGAGAGGGGTGGGGGTGGGGTAGATGAATCTGTTGCCTGTCAGATTTGCTTTCTTTTAGGGGAACCTTTTTTTTAACCCCAAGAAAGAAATGGGTAGATATGAGCAGGTGACAAATGCGCCAGTGACACTTACCAGGCTTGGAAAACGGAGAGGAGGAAGAAGACCACTAGAAGCTTAGCGGACATGATCCGAGCAGCCGAGAGAAGCCGGAGGAAAGTGCAGCCACCCTGCAGGAAACGTTGCTGGAGGTTCAGAAGCGGGTGGGTGGAGAAGAGGACAGATTTGTACCCCTCGCTTTTTTGGGCCCCTCTCTTGTTCCGTGTAAGAAAAAGCCCACTTTTTTGAGTCCGCGTCTCCAAAACTGCTCGCACCCTTCCAAAGCGAGATGCTGCGATCCAAAGGGGCGCCAGGATCCTCCGCAGGTTCTGACAGGTGGTGGTCAGATGCGCTCCAGTCCGTCCTTCTCCCCTTCCCGCGCACTTCCCCACCCCCACCCGCGACAGTCACTTGCCTGAAGGAATCACGGCGCCCTTCGCGGTCCCGGGAGTTGCCTTAGCCGGGACCCTGGGATGGTGGGCTGGTCCCAGAAGGAGAAGGAGGCACCTGCAGAAAACACATCAGGCGGCGCGGGGCAAAACGGGAGAAGTCCCGAAGCCCGGAGTGGGACGCCTCCTCTGGACCTCGCCGGGCCCCGGGCCAGGCACTGGGTCTGCCAGGGAGGCGGGTTGCGCGGGGTCTCGCACCATCGGAGAGGTGCCCGCGGGATTCCCGCCGGCCGGCCAACAGGTACGCGGGTGGTCGCCTCAAAGATCCGATCCGCCTAAGGAAAAAGGCGGGAGGGGTGGAAGTTGGGAACGGGGGACTGGGAGCCCCGGCTCGGCTTCCCTCGGCGGCGGGCAGCGGCCCCTCCCGGTGTCAGCGCCGCCTGCGCTTGGCGGCGAGGCTGCTGGGCTCGGCGGGCTCCGCGACGACAGTTCTGGAGGAGGCAGCCAGCCCCTGCCTCGTCAACATCGCCTCGGCTGTCCTTGCCCACGGAGGGAGGTCCCTGCCAAACGCAGGATTGGCGAGGCAACTGGCGATCGGCGACCAGGGGCCAGCGAGCAGGCGGCGATGCTTAATTCGGGTGGGCGCAACGGGAGCGCATCTTGATCTTAAGAGATCCGGGGCGGGCGCCGTTGCCACCCGCCCACGGATCGAGCCAAGATAGGCTCGAGGAGTTCATTCATATTCAGGACTGCGTCTGACCGTCTAGCGGTTAGGCAATCTCTGAGAGAAATCTTTGGGGTTTCTAGTCCCTAGGAATATGGGATTTCCCTCCTTCTGAAATATTGAGCAGCTAGCTGATCCTAATGTTTGAAACAACTGAGGAAAGAAAGGAAAGGAAGAAAGAAAGGAAGGAAGGAAGGAAGGAAGAAAGAAAGAGGAAGGAGGGAGGGAGGGGAGGGAGGNTGTCTGTCTGTCTGTCTGTCTGTCTGTCTGTCTGTCTGTCTGTCTGTCTGTGTATTTGGTGACTTGCAAATTAGAAGGGGAAAAGATGCTGTACCATCTTAGAATGGTTTAGAAATCTGTGGATGCCACTCCACTGGTAGCTTGAACAGTTCAAATGGATAGAACCAAATCGTTAACCACTGTTTAGTCCATGAGTTGCCATTTCATGAAGGGTTGCTCCTGAGAAAGGGAGGCAGGGGTAGGGAGAGAAAACTGGGCAGTGGAATGCCAAGAAAACTGAACATCAGCAAAGTCGCAAACAGATCTGAATCACCATCACTTTCACGATTGACATGGCGACTGTAGATGTTTGGTTCGGTGACATTAGGTTGTAAATTCTGAAAGGAAGCTATCTGGTTGGATAATCTCCTTTTACAAAATACCATTCAAGGCAATCGCTTTGAGCCATCGAAGGAGATGAGCCTCTGGAGACATTCCAAAATCAGTTGAGGAGACACAACACGGTTAATAAAGCTCACCACGTTCCCACTTCGTTTGCCTTCTTAGGGACGGTCTCTTTCATTTAATTTAGGGAAAGTGTTCCTTTATTTGCAGGTCTACCGATTACTCGCCATCCTTGCTTCTCTTCCTAGTCTTTCCCAAATTCTGACCGGTCAAAGACCGAAGGGGGCTCGCTTCAAATTAATGTCACCCCTGAATCCGAGCCACGGGAAAGGCAACCAGGCGGCCTGCTGTCACCACGAGAGTCCTCCCAACGCGTCCGGATCCAGCATCTCTCCCCCACGACGCCCATTCCCGACAACACAGACAACAGCACGAGCTTCAAAACGGCGCGAGAGATGGAGAGAAGGAAAGCTCACTTTCTGGTTCTTTAGCAAATGAGAGGAAAACTTTCCGCACAAGAGGAAAAGGAGAGGAATTCAAGCAGTGGGTAGGGAGACAAGGGTTCGAAGTGGCCGCGGTTCTTAATCAGGACCACCAGCCGGTTTGGATTTTTTTGGGGGGGTGGGGGGGTGGGGGTGAGGTTTGTGTTGCCTCCACCAAACCTGGGTAATAAGACGGGGGGCGGCGAAGGGCAGGGGGCGCAGCTGTCCTCAGTTATGATGTGGCGGCGTCGTGACTGGTGTCAAGGNCCCCCCACTCAGAAAAAGGACATCATCTGAGCCTGGAAACGCCTGGAATCAGCAACAACTCTGCCTTTTCCAAATTCCATTTTAGATCATTTTCTCACATCTAGTCCTTTACAATAAGGAGACGTATGCAGAGGCTCTCAAAAAATTGAAGAAAGGAAACATAACAAATGATTTTCATCAGTAGAGAGAATGCAGTTAACACCAAAGCTTCCTCCAATTCATGCTTCATGTTCATGTAAAATGACAGAGAGAATACAAACTTTGAGACCCGCCAAGATAATTCATAGGAGACCAAACTTAAGTTTCTTTGTACCAACTTCTGTTAGGCCCAAACACATAAAAATGAAATAACTTAAAAGTCCTTAAGGAAGGATTCAGAGAAACTGGAACAGTTCAGACTAGAGCAATAAAAATGATCAGGGGAATAGAAAGCATATTTATTTATGAAACTTGGTGGCACAGTGGTTAGAGTGTGGTATTGCAGGCTACTTCTGCTGATTGCCACATGCCTGCAATTTGGCAGTTCAAATCTCACCAGGCTCAAGGTTGACTCAGCCTTCCATCCTTCTGAGGTGGGTAAAATGAGGAGCCAAATTGTTGGGAGAAATAGGCTGACTTGGTAAACCACTTAAAGAAAGCTGTAAAGCACTGTAAAGCAGTCTATAAGTCTAAATGCTATTGCTATTGAACATTGGATAAGATTAAAAAATACATTTCACTGACAAAAGTGGGGTATGGGAGAAAAAGAAACAAGAACAACATATTTATCTAACACAAAGAGCATAATTTCCAGAAGCCGCAGGAATCAATACCATATTTTGTTTAAATTATTTGATTTAATAGCATGGACAGTTCAAAGTTACTGAAAAGGTGGATATACTTGAGCAAAAGAAGGACAAGCTAAACAGCTTGATGTTGGATCTCTCTCTCTTTCTCTGTGTTTGAAGAATTATCATAATACAACACTGATAAAGTTATGGGGAGAAAATGTTGGTTGGTGTGGAATATATCATTCATAGGATCAAAGTTTTAAAGCCATAGTATGAAACTCTGAAGTTGATAATTAATGTTCTTTGAGCAGAGAATGTAGTTGCAGTTGAGATATGTAGTAAGACTGAATGAAAATGGAAAAGCTAAATGTATTAACCTCACAATTAATGTTAAAAATAATTTCTCAGATTAATGTCTCCATTTTTCTTTCCCCTTTTTCTCAGTTACAAAAGGTTAAGATGTAACTCTTGAGCTCATTCCCTTCAGTGAAATTCCTTTTGAATAACACTGCTGGGGAATTCTCCTGATCAAGCCAAAAAAAGTGAATGGAAGATATGCAAGATCTCTTAGGAAGCATAGCATATTCATATCTGAAATAGTTGCCAAGAATATCTATTTTACAACTTTGTGTCTTTTCCTGAAATATAATGTGTTATATTACTGTATTGCATCTTTTTTAAAACAGCATTGCTGTTATAGTACTTCCGATATTTTGAGTAGCATATTTATTTCTAATTATTTCTCAGCTTCAGGTTTTATATTCTTGTCTCCAAACAAAAAAGTACATAAAAATAATAATGTAGTAAGGCTTCTGAGGACTTCAAATTATAAGGGAACAAACCCTATAAATTCAAATCCTAGAAAGCCAGTGGTAATATTGCCATTAATTCTATATTCTGCTTTTTTGCTTTATTGTAGAAGCTACAATATGATAAGTTAAAAATATCAGGCAAAATGGTGGTTGCATTGTACAATAGGGCTATCAGGCTGTAGGCTGCACAAATCTGGATAACTACTAGATAGAAATTTTAGTATCTCTTCACTAAAGTCATTTAGATTTTTGCAATTTTTCCCTAGAAGTACTATTATAAAGACATTTGAGCATATTTCATAATAATAGATGGTTATTGGAAGGAAGTTTAGATATTATTACAAGATTCTCCATGGGTATACTATGTTGTTCTTTCATTTCTCAAAATTCTGGTGTTCACCAAGAAAACATTTCTGTAGAATGAGTCTACCAGGTAATGGAAGTTTAGATAAGTGAACAATGTAGATGCTCATTATTCCATTGGAGTTCAAGATCATAGATATGGTGGCTTCCTGTTGTTTTATTTGATAGCTGAAACTTTGTCAGTTCAGTTGGGCTGAGATAGAGTTACTGGCCTGAAGTTGCCCAGTAAACAATGAATAAGGTGCCTGACCACAAAGATAGATTTTAATTGAGAAAATGTGCTCCCAACCTAGTCTTTCAGATCTACAGCCTCCACTCTGTAATTGAGTTCATTCATCACACTGCTATCTATCCTCTTTTTCTTGTTCTTTTCATCTTTTCTAGCAATATGAATTTCGAAATGATCTAGGTCAGGGGTATCAAACTCAAGGCCCAGGGGCTGGATACACAGGGCCACCCTTGAAACAGCCCATTTTCGCTGGTAGAGCTTTCAGGCCACCACAGGGACCTCTGACAAAAGTAGAGTATAACTGGCCACCCCCACCCCACCTCCCAAGAGCAAACACAATGCTGATGTGGCCCTCAATGAAATCGGGTTTGACAACCCTGATCTAGGTCGTCACATAATATGTTCAAACTATGCTGATTTAAACCAGATTATTTGTGCCTTTGATGGGAACTCAGAATTAATTTGTTTTCTTGGTTATTCACATTTTCTTGAATACAAGAGTCTTTCCAAGAGTCTTCTCCAGGATCAAAGTGTCCCTCGTTTTAATCCCATCTTAACCACTACAGTATCCCCACTCTTTTGTAAAATGATTACTACTTATCTAATTTCATTTTTGGATCAGTGGAGATACTTTTACTAGCTGCTCTTGTTCCAGGGGAATTTCCTGTTAAAGTCAGGCTGGTTTGCACTAACATAAAAAGTCAAGGCATAAGCACATAGGGTTTCCTGGTTTCTTTTGTTCAATCATTTTATCTTTGTGTATTTCAGTGCAACAGCTTCCAACAATAACAACACAGCCAACAGATCAGGTTGCTTTCCCTTTTGATGATGAATTTTCAATCAAATGTGAAGCTAAAGGAAACCCCCCAGCAATGTAAGTGTTACTGAATTTGGGACACTCTGCATATTTATTTCTTTTTTATTTCTTTTTTAACCTTTGTTTTCCACTGCTTTCTTTCAAAAATTGTCTCTCTCTCTCTTGTAATTATGTATTTATATTTATATCCAGCTTTTATTTTTATAAATACAACAGCGAACATACTTAATACTCCTCATCCTAAGACATACCTCCACAACAAAAACCCTGTGAGATAATTTAGAGAGAGGGGGGGAGAGAGAGAGAGGGAGAGAGAGAGGGAATGGGAGAGGGAGATGGAGAGGGAGGNGCTGATATGGCTACTTTAATCATTCATAGAGATGTGTTTGTTTAGGATTTGCACCGCTCTAATGACCATGGAAAAACAATTACTTTTCTTGGTGTTAGTTCACAGTAAATGAATTGCCTTTTTCAGAGTTGGTGGTTGAATTCTCTTATAAATTGCAAATTTGGATTCCAGATCACCCATTATTTAGAATCATCTCCTCAAATTTCATGCCCTTGCTTTGACCCCATTTTTTCATCTGAATTCTTATTTTCTGTTAATGAAGGTTTTAATGGCTTTAATAAACATGAATCATATTTGGCAATAAACAAGATAGGCAAAGCCTGGTTCCATTGGCGGTGTAGATGAAGAGGTACCATATGGTGCAGCAAGATACTGCATTCTCTTTGATCAGTGGGTTTTCCAGTTCACTAGGTTTAAAGACTTTCTAGCCAGTTCTCTAATATTCATTCCTGTAATTTATAACAAAGTGGTAATTCTATTATGGTCAATTACTCTTCAGGGTACAATTTCCATTTTTATAGTTTGGTTATGTGAAGATTCACAACACTTTAATTTCTTCAGTGTAATAAAAGAATGTAAATCTATGAAATAGATGATTTGCATAGTTGTGAGTCCATCTATTCTGCTTCTGGGGGTGTATGGTTTTAAATAAAAATGCCACTGTTTGGCCATGGTAGGTAGATTCCATGGCGATATACTAAGTTACACCAAGACTTAGATGTAACATCTCCCATTTTAAAAGTGTGCAACTATATCATGTGTATTTTAAATTTTTAAGCAGTTTAATTCCAGTAACAGGTTTATTCTCAGTTTCTCTGAGTTATATTACAAATCCAGTGAAAAGACTGTGTAATTTGTAGAGAGTCTGGAAGGATTTTGATATAATTTGATCTGATTTATACCCATTGTCCAACAGCTTTCATACTTCTGGAAGAATGATCTTTCTTCTTATATATCTTGATAAAATTCTTGTTTTTTTGAAAAATATATTAGTTTAGAAATCTGTATTTAGAGAGGTAGTCTCTCTTAAAATGTTACCTGCACTTAAATAATATTTAAATAAAGTAGGGGGTTTTGGATTCTAAAAATAGATATTCACAAATTTGACCTGAGACATGATGGGAAGGNCCCTAACACAACAGTTGCTATGTCAATTGTTTATGCATGATTCATGAAGGATTACATTAGTGATAGAATATTGCAATATGCTTTGAGTTTATGGAGATATCAAGGACCACCAAAGCCTACCACATTAGCTTTGAAACTGGGTGACATTTTTAATTTAACACTTCCTAAATCTAATCATTTGTAGATGTAGTTAATTTGGATTGAAATATTGCTTGAATATGCTCCGTCTCCAGTTTAACTTCTATTCATTTTCAGTTTTTATTTAAGAGGAGGCTGGGGAGAGGAGAGCAACCTTGAATAGAAATCGCTATCAGAGCCCCTCTGCTTTAATTCCTGTATTGAGTAAACAAATACACCCCCCTCCCAAATCTCCATAATTTCTACCCAGTTATAAACCAATGGCCTGTAACACCCTCTGAATAACTGCTGGTCAGCCAGCTGTTTCTCATTGTCTCTCTGGGGTTTTCTAAGTGTCACTTCCTGGCTGACTGCCTTCGCTCTGTCAGATATAACTGGAAGATAGCTGGCTTTTCTGAAGTACAAATTACAATTCAGAACATTTCTTCTGAGATAAATGGTCACCTGATTTCCATCAGTGTAGCAGCTGGTTGCCAAACTACTAGTTTCCACCTTGGGCAGTGAGCTACAGGCAAAATGATATATAGACTTTTGGTTCTTCATTACATTTTATACCATCCAGCTTCTGTTCTTCCAATGTCTTTTACAATGGCTATAAAAGTAATGGTGTCTTTGTATCAACCTTAAATTATTGACTCTCAGTTTAAGATACCTGTGGTAGACAATATTATCTGTGAATGTGCCTGGGTAGAAAGCACATTTTCTATCCAAAGGTGTTTTATTGTTAATAAAATTCTAAGGTGTGCCTGCTAGAATGTTGGGGGAATAGTAAAATAATTCTAGCTTGTATTACAAAATAAAATAAATGAACTGCCATGATAAATATCTTATTTTTAAAACTGTTTTCACTCTCTATGTCTCTATTAAAAAGAAAACAAATAGAACGTTAGGAGTGTGCCAAATATGTTCATCATTTTTCCCCTTGGATACAAGCAGGAAAGTAATTTGATTTGTTTGGGGTAATTGATTTTGGGTTTTTTCCCCTCTTTTTTTCCTGAATATAAGAACAGGAGGCTAAAAGAATAAATTACGATCTGTATATTGCTGTGATTTATGCTTCTGCTTATAAATATTTCCTATTTCTTCATTTTCTTAACATAATTACAGCTGAACCGTTGCCTTAAGTTTATTTTGGTGACTGTCTCTGCTTCATTTCCAGATTTTGCTGTCTGGGACTGTATTCAGTGTGCAAAACAGGAAGATTGTGAAGCATCTTTCAGTCTCTTTGGACTTCATGTTTACAGAAGAGAGATGGAGATACCATTAGAAACAAAAAGGATTTCTGTGTGCCTGATTCTCTTTGTATTAAATTTGGCAGCAGCTATTGAAATCCCTCTTACTGGTAAGTTATGGCTATTTGCTGACTGTTCCTCTACTGGTGATTAGATTAGATCTTACGAATGTGTTGTTTCCATTTTGAGCTTTTTTTTTCTCCTAGTGTGGTCTCTCGAGAATTTCTGTGTGACAGAATTGCGAGGTTTTTTTTCTTTCCTTATGATTCATGCAAAAATATCAAAGGTATATATAGCACATAGATAGGTGGCTGAAGTTCCTTAGGAATCAGGCACTAAAGCTGTGATCACCAAATTTAGACAGGAGTTTCACTAGAAGTTTTTAGGTATCCAGACATGACAGAAAAACTCAAAGTGAAGATCCAAAATATTGGTGGCAATAAATAATACCAATTAATGTTTCCTTGAATATTTATCAGTCAGGAGTATTTAATGAAACAATTCTTTTGTTGCTTTGCATATGCTGTATTGTTATTTATCCATTTATAATAGATTTAGCTGCCATTCATGACTGCAGTGGCTTGCAACTATACCTTTCAATAAAAGCAGCTTATGTATCATTTGTCTATGAAGAGAAAAAACTGCAAATAATGGAACAGAACAGTTTTTTTAAGGATTGATGCAGATATGGGATTGGATTTTCTAAAATAGTAGTGCTTTGTTCCCATTACAGATAAATGATTTTCTTTTTCTTTTCAATTACATCATTCAGCTCACTTTTTCAATTTTATCTTATTAATTACAGAATGTGTAGAAGTTCTAGAGATCTGTTCCATTCCCATCTATTTTTATGTGAAAACCTGCTGTTGCTTGTCATATACTGGATATCTCACAAGTTTCTCTAATGAGAACTTTTGAGGTGATTTTTTTCTATAGACAGATAATAAAAAAAATAAGTCTTAATACTTCCTCAGCTTTTCCTTCCTTCCTTCCTTCCTTCCTTCCTTCCTTCCTTCCTTCCTTCCTTCCTT